ATTTTGCACTTACTTTGTAGTAATAGAGTGTGTTGACTGAAATATGTTTGTATGAATAAAGTTTTTGTTTTTGGAGAATCACAATATCTCTTATCTGTTGTATTTGAGCAGGACTGGGTTGCACTTTGGTGACACATAAAACAAATTCCCAACATTATGTGTCTTTCCATCATGATTGATGTGCTTGCAGATCACAAGCATTTCCTAATTTCACTTCAGAATTTTTTGTTATACATAATCTTTTGTTATATTTTTTATACTGTCATCATTTGTAAAGTGTATATATATATTTATTTACTTTCCTTTACCTTTACCAAATTTACCTGTATTCACTTTGTTTTCATATTTGGCGACTTTTTGTGAAAAATTGAGACTTTTGAGAGTGGTTCTAGAGATTTTCTGAGGGAGGGGTTTGGCAACACTGGTTGAGAGCTTGTTATGTGATTCGCTCCGCTGTTTTCATGCGCTGCTCACGGTGCATTGGGCTCGCGGTCCGGCCTTTTGAATATCAGTTATACAAGTATGTAAGGATAAATTACTCGAGTTGCTTTTAAAATATTCACATGTCCTTTTCCTCGAGTCGAGTCAAGTCTGGAGTCATTTCAGGTCAAGTCTTAGTCAAGTCTGAAGTCTATAAAAATGCGACTCATTTCCGAGTCACTAACTCGAGTGCCCATCTCTGATCTGTCGTGCTTGTATCGTTGCCAAATGAACCACTTTGAGCGCCCTAGCAACTGCTCTCCACTAAGTTAATGGGAAGGATTGGCGTATCATATGCAGGCAAAATTGGACCTTGGCGTATGTATGCATTACATGCAATTGGAAAGTGTACAGTCGTGTTATTCATACGTAGACTGATGAAAATGGGTTGAAATGTGTAGTGTTGGGTTGGAATCCAGGACCAGGATTAGGAACCACTGCAGGAGAGAATGTCATGATCAAGAAACATACAGAGTCACAGTCAATGCAAGACCCTATTGAATGCATATAATTTATCCACAATGCCAAAAAAAAAAAAAATCACAAATGTGTTTTGAGACCTGAATAGTCACTAGTAATAAAAAGCACACGCAAAGTCAATTTAAGTCAAAAACAGTTAAAGGCTCAAGAAGTTTAAGATCAGTTAGCATCAGCCTAATATGAGTTGCCCCGACTAACTACAACATGACCACGTTTTCAGAACTATAAACTATACATGTTAACTTATACTTTATGAATTGTGTAAATGTAGATAAAAATTAAAGTAGATCTGAAAAACTACATTCAGTACCATTATGAATAAAATTGAGCACATTGTAAAACCCAAGAATCAAATCCCTTGAGGAAACCAATTTAACAACCAATGTATATGCACAATGCAAACTTAATTAATTACAGTCCACTCAAAAGCAATCAACATACCTTAGTCATAATTGTTGAAGCATCACCTGACACCAGTGGTGGCTGGTAGACATTTTTCTAGATAGGGCTGTGCCACTTCCAACAATTTTAGCAATCATCCTTCATGATTTAATGCTGAACAGTTAAAGAAAATGTTTAAGTTAACAGAAGAAAAAAAAAGCAATTTTTTTTATTTTAAATGTAATAAATTTAATAATTTCTAAAGATTAAATTTGAGGATAATTCTCACAAAACGAAATATATTTCTAATCTTTATTCAAGGTTTTATTCAAAATACTATTACATTTTCACATTTTATGTATACAGTGCAACAGCAAAAACTGTGAGAAAAAAAAAAGTTAAATTTAGTTTGGTTAACTATACAAAATAACTGCAAGTCGAGCTGCAATACCAAACAGGACCACATGGAGATGACAAGAGACCACTATACTAGTTGCCTTAACCTGACTGCATATAGATATATGCCTATATGAATTGAGATGAATCGAGATGAATTGTTGAATAAAATCTTTTTTTTTTTTCTTTTGCGCACAAAAAGTATTCTCGTAGCTTTGTAAAATTACAGTTGAACCCCTGATGTCACATGGATTATTTTACCGCTCTCCTTGTTACGTTTCTGGACGCTGATCATGTAAGGACCATTGCTGTCTCAGGGAGGGTCAGAGAGCTCTCAGAATTCATCAAAAATATCTTAATTTGTGTTCTGAAGATGAACGGAGGTCTTACGGGTTTGGAACGACATGAGGGTGACTAATTAATGACAGAATTTTCATTTTTGGGTGAACTATCCCTTTAAAGTGGAACCCACTGGACATCACAAAAGCACGACAACACGGTGGATGGGATTAAAGGGGAAGCGACACGTCTTCCTAAGGTGTGTCACTAATTAAGGCCCCACCTACAACAATTGGTAGGAACTCCCGACTGGAACCACTGAGCATCGGACAAGAATACTGACCAAAAGCAAACATTATATACAAGTACTAACACATTAAGTAATGTAAAATTTTAAAAATGTCCAATCAACCGGCTACACCCATATGAACATAAACACCACTGACCATCCAGTTCTGTGTACAAATAATTATAATTTTGTTTTTCATGATGCTAAGAAAACAGATTGTCTTGATTTACTGATGTAGTATGTTCTATAAAATGTAAATGAAAATATTAGATTTACAACAGCAAGTAGTTGTATTTAATTTATAATAAGGAATTCTATTGAAGCTTCTTATAAACGTTAGAAGGCAGTCTTTCTGCCTTTTTAACAACCTCTTTTGCATTCTCATAATTAACTTTAGCTGAAATCTTAATGGCTTCAAGCACAGAATCGGCTTCTTTTGCTGCTTTGTATCCTGCGATTCCTCCTCCGATCGCTCCTGCAAGAGCTGCAGCTCCAAATACCACACCTACACCGATTCCTGAACCAGCTGCTGCTCCAATGCCGGCGCCTGCAGCAACTCCTGTCTCCACTGCTACTGTTCCTGCTGCTGCTGCTGTTGCTCCGACTGCTGCTCCTGTGGTTCCTGCAGCAACTCCTGCCTCCACAGCTACAACTCCTGCTGCTGCTGTTGCTCCTACTGCTCCTGCTGCTACTCCTGCCTCCACTGCTCCTGCCACTGCAGATACTGCTGCTGTTCCTACTGCTGCTGTTCCTCCTGCTGCTGCTGCCACTGCTGTTTTATCTGCCAATGTGCCTGCAGCAGTTACAGCTATGCCTATTGCTTTGACTACTTCTTTTAATTTGGCTGCCTTGAGTAAAGCCACAACAGAGGCCACAGCGACACCAATGCCCAGAAAAGCACCAATCAGTATCCCTGTAGAAACTCCTGCAAGCCTAATAAGATGTTTTTCAAGAACAATCTTCTTCGCTGCTTCTAGTTTCTCTTCTGTAGACAAATGAACTATAAGCATACTATTCATCTTGTCTTGAATTTCTTCCTCTACATTTAACATCAGATCATTGGTGTAGCAGCCGTTCTCTTCCACCATCTTGTCGATGGTGTCCAGCAGATTTTTCACCTGAACCTTGTTGCTCCTGTACCCTAAATGACAGTCATTCCAGCGTTCATTGTCAATAACGTGACAGCGACCTCCACATTTATCAACAAGCTCCTGTAGTTTTGTACTTTTCTGAACAAATTCTTCGATGGTTTGACCTTTTAGCTGTTCGCCGTGAGTGAATAAAACCACTGCATGTTTAAAGGTTTCCTCTCCACAATACTCAACAATTTTATCCAGAGTCTCTCTTTCTTGTCTTGTGTACTTTCCAACTTTTAGAACGATGACTAAGGCATCAACAGCTGGAGCGCATTCAATAATGGATTTAATGATCCGAGATTTGATGACTTCCTCTTCCTCCTCAAGACGCGTGTCAAAGATTCCAGGTGTGTCAATAACTGTGACTGTTCTTCCACCAACCATCGCAACTCCTGTTTTACATTCAGCTGTAACAGACTCAGGTGAAGATTCAGCTTTGAATATTTGTTCACTGAGAATAGTATTTCCACAGCTGCTTTTGCCATCTCCTGTTTTTCCAAGAAGAACAATTTTTCTTGCAGGTTTAGACTCTATTTAAAAAAGACACTCTGGTTAGTGAAGAGTATTGTACTGATTAAAAAAATAAAAAAATAAACATGCATATTATATGCATACTATAAAACAGATTTGATTCTAGCCTTAATTTTATTAACATACAAATATTTATTACCTCTCATTGTGCTTTTCTTTTGCTGAGGTGAATTTCTGCAATGTCAGAAATAATATTCAGGGCATTATTGACAGTGCTTAACATCCAGTCAAATATTTTATAAAGTGTAATGTAATTTGTCAGTGTAATGTGGTGTTTTGTTTCATGTTCATGTTTTCCATGTCTTTTATTTTGTAATTGTTTCATGGTTCCTGTTTGTGTCATGCTTCCCTTGCCCTCATATATTCATGCCATTGGTTCCCCTGTTCATTGTGTCATGTTCTGATTGGTTGTCTTAGTCATGTGTCTTGTTTCCCATTGGTTTGTTCTTGTCATGTGACCCTCTTGTTTCCTATAAGTAGCTTCATGTTCCCATTGTGCTCTCGTCGTGTATTGAATGTATTTAACCCGCTGTTGGTGAGTCTAGTCTGTTTATGTCAAGTCTGCTCATGCTATGTCTGTTCAAGTCTGTGTTTCTTGTTTGGATATCACCTGTAAATAAACTGCACTTGGATTCTCACTTACGCTCGCCTTCAGTGGATGATTCGTTACAGTCAGACAGACCCACTTTATATTAAGTGGCCTTAACAACTATGTACTTACATTTAAATTAATAATTTAGTACAGTGCACTTATTGTGTACATACATGTTTTTACATTGTACTTATATTTTAAAAATACCTGCATGTAATTACATCTGTATTTAATTACATTTATAATTACACTGTTGACCCATCCCTGACACCTTAACCCACCCTTAAACCTACCCATACCACCAAACCTGCCCCTAACCTTACACGTATCCCACATCAATAAAAGTAAAAGAGTTTTGCAATACAATATGAACACAATAAGTACATTGTACTTTTTTTTATTTATTTATTTTAATGTAAGTACATAGTAGTTAAGGCCACTTCATATAAAGTGGGACCAAAAAAAAAACACACTGCAAACTGCTGCAAACACAAATTCAGCACGCTGCTTACTGGAGCTCAGAGTGATTTAAAGGAGATTTCTAAATTTATGCTACATTCCCTGTTCATTATGGGGCCCAATGACATTGTATAACTGAAACAGGCATTTTCTGTAAAGTTGGTTTGAAATGATATGTATTGTGCAAAACTCTACAAATAACATTTAATTGTGAGCCATTTGAAAATAAAGCCTGAATTATCTTAAAGTTCTAATTTAGAATTGAAGAGAGAGTTTGATTTCTCTTCAAAGGTATTATTATTATTTATTTATTTTTACCACCGAGTTTGTAGTTTTGATTGTTTAGTTTTAAGAAATGCATATAGGCCTTAGTTTCAGGAAATGTTAGCTAGAAATGAATGAGTAAATTGATTCACCCAACCACTAATCAAATTACTTAACAACTTAACAATTTATAACAAGAAGCAATATATATAATATATGTAATTTTATATTTTGTCAGCATTTTATCAAGTAATATGTCACTTGCTGGAATGAGCACCAATGAGCCCCGGTTAAAATGTTAACATAACACATGAATAGTTTTCTAGTAATAAAAAATATTGTGAGCTTAGGCAAAGCACACTTGGTGCCCCATAAAGTTTGCTGACAATATTTTGGAATGCCGCTGCAGAATGCATTTGAATGCAAGTTTTCTGAAATAAATAAATAAATCTTATAAAGTACGGGGGTAAAGTACATGTTAACCTTGCTTTCTGGAATACCCAGACACTTGGAAAAAGTAATCAACAACGTTAAAATAATAATAATTATAATAATAATAAATGCACTGTAAGTCGCTTTGGATAAAAGCATCTGCTTAATGCATAAATTAAATTAAATTAAAAACATTTTTTTTAATAATAATAATAATAATACAAAGAAATGCTTGAATTCTAAAATGTTACTGTCATTGCAAGCATCTATGCAGATATTTACAAAATTCAAGAACTTTTAACCCCCTAGTAGGTTAGAAGGAAGAACAAAAGGAAGAGCTTTGAACCTTCTAGTAGATGTGTCTACAACTCTTCTGTTGCTGTTGCAGTCCAATAGACCCAGTCCTGGTGCAGTCAGGTGTCTGTTCCACACACTCAAAAATGGCTATTGAGCTTTGCTCTATTGACTTTTTATTAAAATAAGAATAAGAGAATAAACAAATAAAAAGAACAAAAGAAGCCACAGAAACTGAGGAGGGCAGAGGCTTCCTCTCACGCACATATACTGTACATAACTCATATATATACAGCTGCTTGTCCAATCATTTTGCTGTGTGTGCTGTTTCTTTTTTATCACTGGCTTTTTACACAACTGTAATGTGTATCTAGGTAGATCCAAAACTTATAGGTTGTATAATATGACAATCCAAAAAAACTACTGATTTTCTTCAGCCTTCAGAGTGTGTAATTTATATGTGATTTATGCCGTGTCTTGTATGATGAGCTCTCTGCATTCTTTAATCAATCATGCATTGTAATCATTAAGGTACATTTATGTAAAAAAAGTTTAAGTTAAAGTTTATTTAAGCAACAATAAAGACAAGTGTGATTACTAAGGACAGTTCTGTATAAGAGTATTTTTTAAATTAAGTTTTAACAACAACATTTTTTTTCATTGAAATGGGAAATACAGGGAAAATAAACATGTTACTTTATAGATGTGATCTGGCTCACAGCTGATTGATCCAGTGGTTGAACCAGTATCCATTTGTGATCTGTAATCAGGAACATAACTAGTCCTGAAGCAGGTTAGCAGTGAAGCATTTGTTCGTTTGATGATGAATCCATGTAAAAGCATATCAGTGTTTGTGGTAACAAAGATTTAAAGATTTAAAAGTGACCTTAATAGTCACTACAGGCCCACTTCAAGTTACAAGCATCTGACCAAATTTTACTAGCAGAAGATATATAAATGCAGTCTATGAAAAATGAAGGCAGTAAGGGCAGTAATGTGAAACCTTATGGTTTCAAACCTCAAAATGAAAGCATAGCCATAAAAAGTGACTGTGCATGATGTACATGATTGTTTTATTTGTGTGGTGCATTTTGTTAAATTAGAGCATTTAAATCGTCTTAAATAGCATGCATTGTTTATTTACAATATAATAAACCAAGAACCTGTTATTTTTGTTTGTGTCTGTTATGCAACCAGTGTCATGCTTTGGCTTCTCTAGGCTTGAAAAAGACAGGTGGAAATTTCCACTGCATTATCAGCACGGGCGATCATTTCCCCAATGCCAGCAACTCCACACAGACCAAAGACAAGCACTATATAGTGCATTAAAAGATGGATTTTAGATGACTTCAAGATACATACAGGTAGGGTTTCCACCCGTCTCGCGAAATAGTCGATCGTTACCAATTTATGAATGAAATTGTTATTTGAAATTTGCCTATGGTGGGAAAGGGATCATGTAAAAAAGTCCACACATTTACCATATTTTTTACCATAGGAACTGTCACTCGACCATGTCGTGTAGTCAATGCACCACAACATATACCATTCTTCTCCCACCATAACTGTAGCTTTACTGTGGTATTTGTAGTTAAAATATGGTAACCGCAACACTTATCATGCTTTTACCATAGTAACTGTGTTTATGGTCTACTCTTTGTGTTTAAAGCACAGTAACACAGCACTTACCATGGTTTTACCACAGTGACTGAACTTTTAATGTGGCATTGTAGTTAAAGCACAATAACCACAACACGTATGGGTTTACCTCAGTAATTGTAGTTATTGTAGTTACACAACAACTAACAGAGGCCACACCCATGTCTACACACACGAGCAGAGATATCAAATACATACAAAAACAGTTCACAGATGCATAGACTATCTTAGGGTCATAACAATATTTACAATGTTTTTAATTTGTCCTTTACTTTACTTACAAGAAGAAAAAAAGATTTATTGCTTTATATATATTTTTTTTTTTGTCCCTAAAAAATTTTGAGATTCTTGTTCGGCAAACGGAGCAGCCCATCGTGTTACACCTGTTTCACACATACTCAGTTTGCAGTGCATATGTGGTATTTTTTTCCCCATCCATGTTAACAGATTAGAGCAGGGCTATATAATTAGCTTCATTTGAGGGCCGAATTATCAAACTATGAATTTGAAGGGGGCCAAGGGGGTGGGGCCCTCCCCATCTTTTTCTGGGGGAACTTATAAAATTAGAAATTAAATTGAAATCAGAAACATTAGTGCTGTCTGTCAATCAATTACAAAAAATTACACATTTGTCTGTAATTAATCATGATTAATCGCATATTTATAGTCACAATTTCACATTGAACCTCCAAATTAATGTAGAAACAACTTAAGGATAGTATAGTTTAAATATGTTTAAATTGCGTCTTTTTACTAGGCTTAGTTTAATGGTTTAATGGTTAAAAGTTGATGGTTTATAATATTTGTAATGGTATTTGTAGAATATTATTAATGAAGTATTGATACCAGTTGTCACGAATCCGGTCCATGAACTTCCAATTTCATTGACTCTCACACTACACACTGTTGCACATCACCCCGGACTACATTTCCCATCATTCATTGCACTGATTGCACTCAGCACAGATTGTTGTGCACTGATTGCACCCAGCTGTTTCATATCACTCCCTCACTATTTAACACTCACTCTGATCCCTTCCCTCTGCCGAGTATTGTCTAGCGATTATCACTCTCCTAGCGATAGCTACTCTACAGAGCACTAGGTCGTTTTTCTTAGCCTTAGCCTTAGCCTAGTTTTGCCTTGCCTTGTCTGTTTCCTTCGGTGTTGATCATGTTCACTGGTTCTGTGAACTATCTTATCAGGTACCACTATATGATGAAATTTTATTTAAGGACTTGTTTCGTTTTGGACTCAATGAACCCACGAAATCTCGGATGCCAAGGAGTGAATGCAACTGTAGCTTAAAGGACTTTATTGACTATGCCTTGCTGACTACTGGTTCAGCGTTCACGGTGGGTGTCGCGGAGGAAGGAAGCGACACCATGTCTGTGACTGAGGTGATGGCTGAACCAGAGCAAGCTCACAAGATGGCGGACACAACAGCGCCCCGTCAAGTCACTGCTGATCGTCATGAGTCCGGTCAGGTTCCAGTTCATTATCATGAGTCAAGTTTAGTCACAGCTGATATTCATGGGTCTAGTCAAGTCACAGTCGATTGTCATGAGTCAAGTCAGGTTCCAGTTCATTATCATGAGTCAAGTCTGTGGAGGTCTTCAGCTCCACCTGTGCTGCCGGCTCCGCCCTGGCTCTCTGCTCCGCCGGTTCTGCCTCAGTGCCCGGTCTCTCCACTTCCAGGTGGACCTGGCCCTCCATGCCTCCACTCCACCGCCCTCCGGAATCATAAAGGGTTGAGAGCATCTGGAAGCCGTTCCTTGGGGGGGGGGGCTCTGTCACGAATAGCCTTAGCCTTAGCCTAGTTTTGCCTTGCCTTGTCTGTTTCCTTCGGTGTTGATCTCGAGTATTGTTTAGCGTTTATCGCTCCCCTAGCGATAGCTACACTACAGAGCCCTAGTGATTTTCCTTGACTTAGCCTTAGCCCTAGCCCTAGCTGTTTTCTCGGTTCTTGATCTTCGCCTGGTTTCTTGGATTTCTCCCTTAGTCTTGTCCCTTCCGATTCTGTCTGCCCATCGGTGACCTTCGCTAGCCCTGTGACTGTTCTTGTGTTTTGCCCGCCATATACCTGTTTGCCTGTGTTCTGACCCTGCCTGTCTTATGACCACTTCTCTGTCTAATAAAGCTTTGCATATGGATCCGCACGTCTCACGTCTCGTCAGCCCTGTTACACCAGTACTGCTACTGGTGTCTCTATAAAATACTTTTTCCCTCAATTTTACCTATTAATTATAGCCATTCAACATTACAGTATAATTGAAAGCCATTATTTTATAACATTTAATAGACTCTGAAATATTAAGTGATTTTAAAACAATCTTCACATAAACTATAAGTTGTATATGCATAAACTAAACAGCTTAATCTTTAATCAAGCAACAAAAGTGAATCAGCGATGTAGCGAATCAGCTCAAGGGGAAATATGAATAATTAATCATATACTAGTTATAATTAATTATAAATATTAAAATCCGCTGTAAGTATTTACTTGACCTCTCAGGGTCAACTGTCTGTCAATTCTAAGAATGTTAATTTCCTGGTTAAGGGAAATAATTTTTTACTGTACAATTCTACACAGAGCCTGTATCATAAATCTGCATGATTAAGGGACTCCAGTTATGAGCAAACAATGAACAACATCAAGTGTGATACAAGTAAGACTTTATTAACTACATAA